TATTTCGGATCTCATTTATAATATTCTCCCGGTACAATGTCGTCCGCTTCTTCCGGTGGATGTGCCATTTTACGCCGCTAACGGGGGATCGTTGGGCATTATCGGTCAGATTAGGGCGTCCATTTGCATTGGTGATATCAAATTGTCGGGACCCGTTTTCGTTTCATCTTCCCTGGCGGTTCCTTGCCTATTGGGCACTGATTTTTTGGCGAAAATGCCCATCAAAATTCTCATTGATCAGCGTTGCATTGAACTACCATCGGGTCGCCGTATTTCATTTTTGACGAGCCCTAATGTAATTCGGACGGCGTGCGCTACCATTCAGGCGTTAGCAACACAGACCGTGCACGTGCCCCCGGGTTCACAAATGTTGATTCCCCTCCGGTTACGGAAGCCATGGGGGAAGGAGGCCTCGGAACAGGCCATGCTTTTGGGTCCTTCTAATAGGGCTGTTGGAGGTCTCGATTTATCGGTGGCTCACACTTTGGTTGGGGCAGACAGGGATCCGTTTGTCATGGTTTTAAACGCTGGGGCGCGGCCGGCCGTCATTCAGCAGGGCACCGTGCTGGCTCACGCGGCACGGGTCCCTGCGGAGGAGAGGCTGGTTGCGCAGGCTGATCCGAGCCCCACGAATAGCGTACCATCAAAGGAGGACCTAGATTGGATTGATATGCTGTGCGCGGACTCTGACGATTTGTCAGCGCTACAGTTGGGTGCGTTGCGCGGGTTGCTGATTGAATTTTCGGATGTCTTCAGTAAACATAAGTATGATATCGGATGCACGGACCTGCTACGCCACCACATTGAAACGGGCGATGCGGCACCGGTCAGGCAAAATCCCTTCCGACTGAGTCCTGCTGAGAAGGAACATGTTCAGTCGGCAGTTAACGATATGCTGGAAGCCGACATTATTTCGCCTTCTTCCAGTCCTTGGGGAGCACCTATTGTGCTCGTTAAAAAGCAGGACGGGTCCCTGCGATTTTGCGTCGATTTCCGCCGCCTGAATAAGATCTCGGTGGCCGACGCATATCCGCTCCCCAGGATGGACGAGTCTCTCGATGCATTGTCCGGTGCGCGATACTTCTCGACTCTTGATTTATTGTCCGGATTTTGGCAGTTGCCACTCGACGAGGAGTCTAAGCCTAAGACTGCATTCCGGACTCCAGGGGGCCTGTTTCAGTTTAACCGGTTACCCATGGGACTTCACTCCTCTCCTGCGACGTTTCAGCGTCTTATGGAATTGGTTTTGTCGGGCTTGCAGTGGGAGACATGCCTCATTTACCTTGACGATGTCATTGTTTTCGGTAAAACGTTCGAAGAACACCTCCAGCGATTGAGAGGGGTGTTCTTGCGAATGCGATCGGCTAAATTAAAGTTTAAACCGGCCAAATGCCATCTTTTTCGTAAATCCGTGAGGTACTTGGGTCACATTGTCGACTCTTCGGGGATTTCTACCGATCCTGCGAAGACGGACTGTGTCAGTTCGTGGCCGACGCCCACGTCAGTGTCAGACGTGCGCAGTTTCATCGGTTTTGCTTCGTATTATCGCCGATTCGTTGAGCACTTCGCCACCATTGCAAAGCCCTTGCACGCTTTAACGGCAAAAGGAGTGAAGTTCCGGTGGGGACCGGAGGAGGAGGCTGCATTCTGCTCCCTCCGGGACGCCTTGGTAAGGGCCCCACCCTTGTGCTATCCGGACTTTGAGAGTCCCTTCTTGCTAGACACGGATGCTAGCAACACGGGCATTGGGGGAGTGCTGTCCCAAGTCGTTGGAGGGGTCGAACGGGTGGTCGCCTATGGTAGCAGGGTGTTGTCGCCGGCAGAGCAGCGCTACTGCGTCACCCGTCGTGAACTACTTGCCATTGTTTTTTTTGTACAACAATTCAGGCCATATCTCTATGGTCGTCATTTCACGGTCCGGACGGACCATGCGGCGCTCCAGTATTCATTACGGGTTGCCCAGCCCTCGGGCCAATTGTCGCGGTGGTTGGAAGTCCTCCAGGACTATCAGTTCACGACTACGTACCGTAAAGGGTTGCGACACACGAATGCCGATGCCCTGTCGCGGTTGTTGCCTTGTTACAAATGTGCGTGCTTATCGGGATCGGCGCGCTGTAAACCTCCGGTTACGGAAGGTAGGGAGGCGTTGGTTGCGACCGCGAGCACACCAATTGGGGATGGTCCCGCTACCCCAGGGGGTCAGGACTCGCTGCTCTCACTGTCGTTGATTGAGTGGGGCCGTCTCCAAATGGCGGACAGCTCCCTGCTGGCATTGCGCCGAAAGACGGAGGGTTCCGAAGGTAGCCACGACCGAACTGGCTCCTACGAGCTTAAGCAGGGCCTGTTGATGAGATGGGACAGTTTGTCCCGGCGGCATGCGATTGTGGTGCCTTCTGCTGTGAGGGGGAAGGTTGTCTTGGCCGCACACGAACGCCTCTTGCATTTGGGAGTTAACAAAACGCTTGCCCTGCTTCAGCGTGACTATTATTGGCCGGGAATGGGGGGTGACGTGGTGAATATTCTGAAGGGTTGTGTTGAGTGCGCCAGACGGAAACCACCGCCCGTGGCAGCTAATCCACCGCTGCAATCTATTCAGGTCTCGCGCACTAACGAGCTCGTTGCACTCGATATTCTGGGGCCCTTTCCGGTCACGCCTAGGGGTAATAAGTACCTGTTGGTGGGGGTCGAATATTTTACCCGGTGGCCTATGGCGTGGCCACTCGCCAACCAGTCGGCGGCGGCTGTGACGGACGCCTTTGTCCAGGGCTACGTCCTGGACAAGGGGGCTCCCGAACGCTTGCTGACTGACCAAGGGAAAAATTTTTCGAGTAAATTACTGCAGGAGGTGTGCGACCTGTTGGGTACCAAAAAGGTGCGTACCTCCCCGTACCACCCGCAGACGGACGGGATGGTGGAGAGGCTTAACAGGACATTGACCTCTATGCTGTGCCAGCAGGTGTGTGAGTCGCATGTTGATTGGGACCTGCAGGTCCCTGGGGTCCTTGCCGCGTATAGAATGGCCCCCCATGCAGCTACGGGGTTTTCCCCGTTTTTTCTAATGTACGGTCGGGAAGCCGACCCGCCCATGGAAACGCAGCTGGGTCTGCCCGCACCACGAACTAATTCTAAATTGGCAGAGCATATTAAATTTAATATTCATAAACTGACAGAGGCAAGGGAGGCCGCACGGCTTAATTCGCGGGCTCGCCAAATTGCGAACGAGCGGTTGCGGGCACGGAAGGTGTCCATGCACAATTGGGAACCAGGTGACAAGGCCTGGCTGCATTGCCCTCAGGCACCTTTGGCCACGTCGCCTAAATTGTTGAAGCCGTGGCGGGGACCCGTGGAGGTCGTGCGGGTGGCACGCCCCCAGTGCGTTCAGATAAAATGGGGGAAACGCCGTTGGTACGTCCACCCCTCCCGACTGAAACCGTTCTCGCCTCCGTATGGCCTCCCCTTGTGTCGTGAGGGCCGAGCATGTGACGTGACCGACGACCCTGAGGGGGAATTGTCCTTGCCTGCTCCTCACATGTCTCCGCCTGATCCGCTCCCAGGTGTCTCGGAACTGACTGCTGCCGACCACCGGCGGCCGGATCTTCACGGCGGGGCCGGTCCTTCCAGGCCAGACCCGTGCCGTCTAGAGCTGCCGGAGACACCGGACGGTCGCCAACGTCCCGTTCCATACGACGGACCGGCCAGACGGACTCGCGCTAGGTCGCGCTACTTTGTGTAACCTACCACGTGCGGAGTCGAGGCAGCCGGAGCGCCTCGGCACTGCGTGGGTCACAGTGACACTTGGCGCGTTCGTTTTACGGTGTTCGCTTTTATTGTGTTGTTCGTCGGGCTGTATATTGCTTCATATTTAAGGTTGTGTTATGTTATTGTTGTTGTGTTACGGGGCACACTGGGATGTGGAGTTCTTTATTACTGCGTTGCGTTATGTTGTGTTGTAGGTTAACAGCCGGGCCGGCTGCAAGCTATGTGGGAGGGGGTGATGTAGAGGTGATACGCGCTGGGATTAAGGATCGTAGGCACAGTGCGTGATGATTGGCTGTGTAGGTGGTGACGCGCGCTGACGGTGGAGGATCAGGGGTCAGCGCGGGGTCGTGGGTTACGGGGTACCGATTGGCTGTGGGCGGTGACGCGCTGAGAGGGAGTGATCAGGTGGCAGCGCAGTGTGATTGGTGGAGTAATGTTAACACGCGCTGGGGAAAGCGGATCGTAGAGAGAGTGCGTCGTGATTGGGTCATTAAGGAACGACGCTCACGTCGACGCCGCATCAGCTCCGTCCCTCGTGAGCAGGGGCTATAAAAGGGGATGCACACAGGCGTAAGGGCAGTGTGTAACCAGCGAAGAAGGAAGACGGGGATGAAGACCTAGAGCCCTGCGGTACCTAGCCCCGCTGTCCTAAGGGGACCGGGACTCTGTGTAACCCAGAGGCGAGTGTAGTGGGTGTAGCCATAGGTCTACACGAGCCGAATGTACTATGTGTAGCCAGGGCATAGGGCTTACACGAGTCGAGTGTATTGTGTAGCCAGAGGCATAGGGCTTACACGAGTCGAGTATATTGTGTGTAGCCAGAGGCATAGGGTCTACACGAGTCAAGTGTATCGGGTGTAGCCAGAGGCCTAGAGCTTACACGAGATTAGTGGAGTGTGTCGGAGGAAGAAGAGAGACCACACGTTGTATTGTGATACCTAAAGGATTTAATAAAAGTGTGTTACCCGTCAAGAAGTTCCTGCCGTCAATTCCCATACTTCATATATACTGGTTGAGGGTGGGAGGAGCCAAGGTAGGCCCTGAATATTATTTTTGTGAGGTTCGGTGCGGCTGAAGCACGCTGTTTATTTAACTTTTATTAATTTAAATTAAATTTTTTTTACCTACGTGACTTTACCGAAAAAACCTAAGAATATAGACAGATGATGCGCACGCGTGGATGGATGGATGCACACGCGTGGATGGATGCCCTAGGGGTGGCACGAGCCGGCTTCTGGTACCGGTGACGGTCAGCCTGCCGCTATTGCTCTGCCGCGTCTCGCTCGTGTAGCGGTGGCGGGTGGAGCAGCGGTAGCTTGAGAGGCCGTCCTCTGTCTGCACGTCCGACACGTAGAGGGCTCCCGTGGACGAGATGCGATAGCGGTCTCCTGCGGGAGCGGCAGATAGCGTGGAGAGACACGGCACGCGTCATTTGAGTTGCATTCTCTCCCCCCCCATCACCACCACCAGCACCACCTCGGCCGCAAAGACCACATACTCGCAGAAGAAGAAATAGCGGCGGCGTGAATGTCTCGAGTAGCCTGCAGCACCTTCAAGAGTGGGACACTTCCACGAATTAGTAGGTTTGGGGCCGTCCATAAATGACGTCACGCGATTTTGGACGATTTTCGACCCCCCCTCGTCACACGGCGTCACAAAAAGTCAGACCCCCCCCTCAAATATGACGTCACAAAGCTTTGCCCCCCCCCCCCCAATAAAACATGCTTCAAATCGCTTTAAACTATTGTCATTGTAGTGCGTATTTAATGTGGCGCTACACTCTGATGTTGTAAGAGAAAACATTTATTAAAAAGTATATTTAATTAAGCAGAACGTGTTGTCTATATTTATTTAAAGTTGCGCATTTTTACGTGACGTCACATTTCTCAACACCCCCCCCCCCCTCGTCACACATCGTCACAAAAGTCTGACCCCCCCCCTGCCCCCTAGGTGCGTGACGTCATTTATGGACGGCCCCTTTTCCGGTCATCCTCACAGCAACGGCTTTTTAGCTGGCCATCGAACAAAGGCGGTCACCGCGTCGCGCGCTTTCAGATGGACTTCTGTGGCCGCTTGGAAACTCTCTTCCTTCCGAAATTAGTTTGTCGTTCTTCCCCCACAACCTCCGATTAGCGCGGTTGGTTACGTACGGTGCGACACACATACCGTACATGCATACGCTCTTTTAGCCTTTTTTCATTGCAATGACATACGAAAGGGTTAGCGCACTCGCCCCACTTCTGCAAGACCGCGTCGCCAGAAGAAATAGCTGCGTAAAAGTCGTCAGCAACCTGCAGCACCTTCAGAGCAGGAAACTTCTACTTTCTAGCAACCTGGCGGCATGTGCACTTCAATATCGATGTGTCTCTTTCAGTGAAGACTTCGTGATCGTTTCATGGACTGAAGTGCGTGCCACGTGCGTCGTGCATTACGCGGCCATTTCCAGATACGAATGCAGCAATGGTCAAGCCCCACCATTTGTGTCCTGCATCTCCCCGTTGAACCCCGTCAAAATAATAAGTGTGTAACGTGTGCATGTTAGACAGAACTGATAAAGGGGAATATTTTTTGTGTGTGTATATAAAACCACTTTCATAGCACACTACACGCATGAGGAGGGTCATTTCAATCATGGACAGAGCTACGTTGGGAGGCCATGATCGCTGACATCTTTGAGAAAAGATACGGCAAATCGATGTTTACCGGGATATAGGAGACAAGTGAAATGTGTAAGCGCGTATGTTTTTTTATAAGACTATACCTCTTAAATAAGCGGACGCATGTCAATATGACTCTCCATTTACTACTATAATGAGCCAAGAATGTCTGTGTGTCCCGCGCGTGACGTCACTCCACGTCGGCCAGCCCCCCTCATTAATAACCATGAGCGGGTGACGTCCTCCACATGCCCCCCCCCTCATTAATAACCATGAGTGGGTGACATCACTCCACATGTAGCACCCCCCCTCATTAATAACCATGAGCGTGTGACGTCACTCCATATCCAACAGTCCCCCACATTAGTAATCATGAAGAGGTGAGGTCTTCAAAATGGACACCACCTCCCTCCATTAATAATAATTAGTGGGTGACGTCACTCCACATGGGGGGGGGGGGGCGCCTCCTCCCCCCTCCTCGGCGTCAACTTACAACCCTCACTACAAAGGCAGAACCCTCACGTCACGTGATCTCCGTGACGCTGTTGAGACATCAAAGTAAAAAGGACGTCATGATGAACAAGGGATTATAACCTTAAAGTGAAATAAGTCTGTGTCACCGCGGCCTTACAAATTGCACAAGAATGGATGCAATTAATATCACGTCGCGGTCTGCTTTTCGTTTACAAGTTTAAGATTTACTGAAATACACCCGTCCTTGGACGGGAAAAAGTCTAGTGTATTATATTTGAGAATTGTATATTTTTTATATCCAGTTTGATTAAACTAAAGTACAGTATTATTCTTCAAGAATCAATGTGATATTGTAAAAAAGTATAAAAGAGAGACAAACTAAGCTTAAGAAACACAGCTCCATTAATTACCCTCCTGTCTTATTTATGTGAGTTGCTCACAGAGAATATTGGGAATGTGTTTTGGCAAATTAGAGGCCAAATAACCACGTGAGCAAGACGGATTTGGAAAGGGGTTTGTACCAATGATCACATACATCAAATTCTGGAAAGAAAATGTTTTACAAATATAAATACCTTTTCTGCCTATCTATGTAGTCTTTGAAAAGACATAACTCAGTTGTTATTGATGCAGTAATCCAAAGTGCTCATTAACTACAACCCAGGTGGATGTACACGCCCCTAATCCAGCGCTTTGGAGGCATCGAGGAGGGTTCATGGATAGGAACAAATGATCCGTATGGCAGTACCCTGGGGTACCAAATAATACATATTGGGCGAGGTAATTAAATATGCTATTTCTGGGACACTATTTTTCCCCAGGGGTGGACTTAACTCCGCGACTGAGGTACCACTCAATCCGAAATCGGTGCCACACTCCGCGATGTCGAAACGCAGCGAGGGCGATTGCGCCGAAACCCTGAACGCTCGCGGTACGCACCGTGGTGGTGCATCGTGAGTACAGCTCGTCGAGACGAGTCGATTGCCGCATCGCCGACCATCAACAGACTAAAATTGACTGCATCGTGGACATCATGCAAGAGCCGGGGTACCGCCATAAGGTTCAAATGACAAAATGTTGCATGGAGGTGGACAATGCCTGCGATAAGAATACCGAATGGTAGCACAAAGAGGAACGCTCCCAAAAAGGGGACACCACCAGGCAGGGGCAGTGATGACGTCGGTGAGTTTACAGATGGAGCTCGATGGATCGGTGCATCGCGGATCACGAAGGCTGACAAACTTGGTGGAGGCCGTCATCCAGCAGTGGATAACAAATGCTCCACGCATTCGTCAATAGCACTGCTTTAAAAGGAAAAAAATAGATCATAGGTGACATTTCAATTAAGAGCACGTAAAGTGGATATAGGTCATTGCTGATGACGATAGCATTGCTTAAATGCCTATTGGCCCTTTAAACTAAACCAGCAGCATTTGGTTAAGTGAGAAAATTGTGGAGCAGTTTCACCCTTTAGGGTTTCATCAGCAGAGTAAGACTTCACAACTAAACCAGCAGTGGTTGTTTAACAATGCCAGATATTTTTGGTAAGAGCACTCGATTGTATTTAATTCAAAAATAATAATGTGCAGTTGTGGAACATTATGAGTCAATAAGTAAACTCATGTAAGTCTGTTCTGTATATCCACACACATATTAAGTAGTTTAAGACTATTAAATAGCCTACTGACATTCTACATGTGCTCCAAATATATGATATGTAGATCATTATTATATATATAGTTAATTTAGTATTTCACCATACTGCATTATAAAATGTTGCCCAACACCCAAACGCAAGTAACAATCTTAAAGTCATTAAGATTTTATAAAATAAATACGTTCTGGGTCATGTGACATGTGAAAGAAAAATATTGGTACAAATAAACAATGAGTATGTGCTTATTTCTTCCAATACCAAAATCTTATTATTTTAGTATTTGATATAGAAAAGTGTATTTTCAACAATAATAAAGAGTAATATTTGCAAAGTCGACTATACGCAGTCTCTTTATCATCCAAGACACGTCTCCCATCCGCTGCTAATGGAAAATGCCTTGAGATGCCCATGCTTATTTCTGATCAACACACGCACACACACACACGAGCTTTTCTGGGATGCACAGACAACGAGACAGCGCTCATTTGTTCGCCGTAAACAAACTCAGTCTAAATAATGATGATTTACTTCAATGGAAGTGCACACACAAGACAAAGACACCCCATTTAGCCTTAACAGACTGTTAGGTCAAGTGCTGTTAGCGAGCACCTATAATGGCCGATACGGCACATGGGGAGGTGGATGGCCAGAACCACGCCCGACCGCCGTTGTTTCCCTCGTGGCGATGTATACAAACTGCATCAGGTACTCATTTGTTACTGAGTCGACCTAAGGAAGGCCCAGGACTGGTTCAGATAATTGTCACTGGTGTTGGCCGTGAGCGGGATTAGAACTCGCGTAGCCGGGTTTGTAGCGCTAACCGCTACACCACCGCTCCCCATGCACACACACTCAAATTGGTATATTTTTTTAACTCATTGACCAAAAAAAGTTGTTCCAATCACGCAGATTTTATGTTGTAAATATTATCGTGTGCTCACAATATTAATTCAGCTTTCGTACATTTATATTTCGGTATCTTGTGCTTGAAAAATTAATGTTGTGCATACCCAAGAGAATGTTTTAATTAAAACAAAAACGGGTCAATTACATTGTAAATTAGCACATACCTTGAAGGCACATTTACAAAAATAGTTTCAGCAACAAATAAAAACTCATTATTTAAAATCAAATCTTGCTCTTTAATTAACACTGGTATGCATGCATGCATTAATAACATAACTTTCCTGTCCTTCAGGCTGTGATTTCTCAAAAGTGTAATTAACATTTGGTTGTAACAAGAAAAATAAAATACAAGTGAAATTAATTGCACTATTTCATGTACAAAATAATAAATTGAATATCCACGCTGTGTTTAAAATGTGACTGGAGAAAATATAATTTAATTTGAACTTATTCACAATTTTAAATTGCTTCACATTTGAAATGTGAATCACAAAATTGTTATTTAGAGTTGTGCAAATTTAATAAAATAATCTGTTGTATGTATGTTGATGTTCTTTCGCACCGTACGTAGCCAACCGTGCTAATAGGAGGCACGAGAGAAACACAAAAAGCATTTAAAAATAAATTAGTTTTCAATCTAGATGATTTAACAATCCAGAGCTACAACGGCTTCCTAATATCGGAAGGAAGTGCG